CGTCGTAATCGCGCTAGTGTGCACTGGTTTAGTCGCTTAAGCAAGGAGCGTAGTAAGCGATGCGGTGTCGAATCGTATATCGCATCACTTGTCGTATCGCGTATCGCATCGCCCCCAGCGGTGCGATACATTGTAGATCTGGTATCAGAAGTTGTTCCTTTATATGCCACTAATTAGCAACGGTTTTATTTTTATACATGACAACATACACATCTAGGATTGTTCGGACTTCAATTCAAAGTTTGGATTGGCCAGTGTAGTCCCGACTTAAACCCTATCGAACATCTTTGGGATGAGTTGTCAAAGAGGATAAAACATCGCCCAGTAATACCAGAGAATTTGAGAGAATTAAGAATGGCGCTGTTTGAGGAGTATGAAAATATTCCACAGTGCTACATTCAAACACACATAAAATCGATGCCACGTCGAATGCAAGCGGTGATTAATGCAAGAGGAGGAAATGCTCCGTACTGAATTAAATATTTCCTTCATTGTTTCTACAGCAAGATAAAATTGTTTTACTGTTTAATTTAGCTATATCTTTTTTTAAAAAACCATAAAGAGCAAAAAATAAAAATTATAACGATACCCACCAAGCTTTTTCACCAATTAATAGTAATAATTGAGTCACAGAAGTTCCATCAAAAATGAAAGATTGCTAGGCCCTCTAACTGGAGATTCAAATTTTGTTAAACAAATATATATTTGCTTGCATTGTTTTCCCAACCAACACTTTGTTCAAATAATGACGTTATTTGTCAAAACTTTAAATTAATAATAATAATTCAAGGAAAATGAATTATTTCATTTGGGACTGATTGTTAAATTAAATTTTTGTTTTACGAATTTTAAGAGTAAATTTCACACGCTAAAAAATTTAAATTAAACAACGACAAGGTGTCGTCGTTTGAGTCTTATTTTCAGATAAGATAATAATTGTCCTCGTAATCAATGGGTACTATCCTTAATTATGGATCGACTAAAAGGTATAATTTTTAATTTTCTAAAAGAGAATGAATTATGAGTAGGTGTGATCTGTGGGGAGATGTGATTCGGATTTGTAAATTTGGAGAAGAACTTAAGATTCTACCTTTTTTTAAATAGTGTCAATTTAGTTTACGAATTCAGGGATACCGCTCTATTTAAATGATCCCCAGAATTGAACCACGTGGAAAGGTTTAATAATTCCCGATATGAAGAATAATCGGCCGGGAACTTGGTCGGATCGCCTCCAGGAAGTTGCTCTCGTCCCCGGTTGGAAGTTGTTCAAGCGTGTAACGTTTCACCGATAAACAAACAGGCTAAATATTAGCGCTTTGCTGCAAATATTTGTACAAGATCACATCGTGCAAAATGGTTGTTTTATGTTGGGAAGTATGTCGTAATGGATAGCAAAGAAAGGGCAGGCCTTCGTGGCGGTTTGGAAGACTTCTGACGTGCCAAAAAAATTAAAATTGTTTGAAAAGTGTTTGTAAAAAACGTACTTACAAGAGAATCACCGATCTTAATGGAACTTTATCACACTAGATGGAAAAATATTAGACCTTTAACCCTATATTCCTATTGGCGCAAATAGGTCCTAGAAGCTGAGGGGAAAAAATTTAAGTAAATGTTTTCCTGACTTTCATGTGCACATATTTCAAAGTTATTAATAACAATAATAGTGTTTATTTAGCAACAATAAAGAAATAAACAAAATACAAAACAAAGTACATAAGCAGTGTCATGATCTTTGCGCGGATCCCGCCACTCACGAGAGTAAACAAATAGATACCTGACCCAAATAACTTAAAATAGTAACTTTTTAAAAAATTGTATTAAAGTTTTTTTTAAAAATTATCAGAAATAAATGTATCTCCTTGCCATTAACAAATAAAGAAAAGATGTGCCTTCGATAAAGTTTTACAAAAAGGTCCTTTTTTTTCTTTTACGAGGGTTCGCAACAGCAGAGGTTTGAAAAAATCCCATTTGTAAGTAATTTTTGGATGTGATTGTAAAAAGACGGTTTTTAATATCGGCTTATAATTCAATTAAATACATAAATAGGAGTATTTGAATTCCTCCACCGACCTATACTCAAACTAATCTAGAATGGGGTCGATGGAGTACTTTTATAAATATTCCGCCATCGACCCCGAACACACAGTCATATGATCTCAACGTTCGAGGGGCGATGATGACGTTATATTTCACCCTCATTCCTCGCCATTCACGCTAATTAATACATGCACTCAGACAAAACATATAGAATAAACACATAAGACATATTATATATATACAATAACAATTTCCCCTAAAAAGCAGAACAGGGGGCCCAGAAACCAGTTGCAGTGCTCGAGTACCATTTACAGATTGGATAGCATGCCCTCACGCTCCCTGCAGGGAGCCAAGGCATGACATGTTTCCAGTATGTGGGACACATCGAGCAACCTTTCTCTGCATAAGGGGCAGCTGCGCGAAAAAAAAGTCCATTTGTAAGTATGTCGGACTCGAATTCAGGGCCGCTGGATTCGAACCCGGGACCTTTATCTTACAGTGATGAGCGCTGTTTCAACGCCTAAACCGTTGCGTCCACCGACTCCCCCCAAAAAGGTTCTTCCACTTTCTTACGGGTCTGAACCAGCTCTGCCTGAATTCTGCAGTTAGTGGATTAGCTCATCCTAGCCAAAAAGAATAATCCTTGTCGCGAAAAAATGTTGTTATGGTGTGTGTTTCTTAGTGACTTGTTTTTTCATAATTTGTGGAAGTTATGAGGAGCGGTCAGGAAGATAGTTTAGAAAAACACTTTTTTTTTATTTTATTTTGGCCGACGTTTCGACCTTTATTCCGGTCATCTTCAGGCTATAAAGTATGGGTTATTCTTGTGGTGTTATATTACATATTGCCAAATCAAAACCAAGTGCGCTGAGCTTTCATCAGCCTCAACAGCTTTGCCAGCGGTTCCTTGGTGTAGGATCTCACATCTGGTTTTTCACACAGAAAACAGACACACATACTCTTAAAGACCCAAAATGACTCAGATCAAGCCAATTAAATTAAATCATATTCAACTTTTAAGCAGGATTTTTCAATTTAATAATGTACAGTATATCTGGTGAAGTAAGTTTAGGACTATATCTAGTCAACTGACGTGGAATCCCCACTCAAAACTTAAGACTGAACAGAAGACTTGAACAACTACAAAGTTTTCTAGGACCGAAATCCGTCAACATTAAGCTAACCTTATACAAGAGTTTATTCCGACCACTTTGGACATACGGAGTGAAGCTGTAGGATTTCACCAAACTGCCCAGCATCCAGCAAAACCATCGTTCCAATAGGAAATCCTCAGACAAACTTTTGCTACGTCACTGACCTCACTATCCACAACGACCTCATCATTCCTTTTGTCTATGGATTGAACCGTTCCCGATTCAAAAAGTTTCACACCGTCCAGTCAATGGGTGTCAGCATTGACTGGTTTGTCATAGTATGTGTACTGCGGCATTAGTGTTAGTGCCGTGGGCTCCTGGGTGTAGGATCTTGCTTGTGGTTTTTCTTGTCCTAGTTGCAAGAACCTGCACCTAAATAGGCCTTCACAGAAACATAAATGTGTTCTCCGGTCTCCTCCTCTTCCTGGCAGTATCTGCACAGTGTTTCTTCTGTCCGTACTTTTATCCGGTGCACGTGGTTTCTTAAGTGACAGTGCCCTGTCATGTGGTCCAACCAGAATCCTGGATCCGTTGCGGTTGTCTTCCAGTAACGAACCAATTCTCATTTCTTTTGAAGGTTTAGGGATAGTCCCTTCGCGTTTTTCATGCCTGTGGTATTGTTCCATGAGGTTGTGGACTGATTAAGATCCATTTTAAGATGTATCCCCTAGGGGCGTCGGTGGCCGGAAGGTTTAATCTTTGACACGGCGCTCATCACTGTAAGGTAAAGGTCCTGGGTTCGAATCCAGCGGCCCTGCATTCGAAACCGACATACTTACAAATGGGCTTTTTTTCAAAAACACCGGCACCCTGAGGGTTTATATGACCTCTGCAGTTGCGAACCCTCGTAAAAAAACAAAAAAAAGATGTATCCTCTTTTGTGGCAGGATGCTAAGACACAGTAGGGTTCAGGACACCCCTTGTTGGCGAACACGTTAACCTTTTCGTACCTCTATTCCTAGGGCCCAGGGACCCATGTCAGGGTCAGATCACTGGTGTCGCTGACTTCCTCCATGCAGTTCCAAACACTCTTTTCCCTTCGCCTCACATGAGGCTAGCTGTACCACCCTCAATGCTGTCTGGCTGTCATAGAAAATGGGAATGTATTCCTAGCCTTTTTAATTATCTGATGCGTTGTTCAATTGTTATGATCTTAGACTGGAAAACTGTTCTATTATACCAAGGTTTTCCTTCAGTTCGGTCTTTGGGTTCATCACGAAGTCTCCAGCTCACGTACCCTTTTCGGTTAGGGAGCTGTCAGTATACCAGTAGGAGTTTGCCTTTAGCGGTTCTTTTGGCCCATTCTGCCCGTTCTGGTAATCGTTACCTTGTACTTTTTAGTAAAGTTGTACTTTGGAGTAGTGTCATCAATTGGCATGCCTAGAATGGCATCTGCCTGTATTTCCTCCCTCAGTTTCCATTGTTTATTTTCATGGCATATCCTTGGAAATGGTTTCTTCGCGTGTCTCTCTTTGGTATTATTCCACGCGGTTTTGGACTCATTAAGGATCCATTTTAAGATGTATCCTCTTTTGTGGCAGGACGCTACGCCGCAGTAAGGTTCAGGACCCCCTTTTCGGCCAACAGTCAACTTTTTCGTCCATGGCATATCCTTGCTGTTCATTTATGAGCCTGTGGCCTGCTGCTCTGGCTCCTCCTTGGATTAAAATATGAAGTGGTGGGAGGTTTAATAACACTTCCATGGCCGCATAGGGAATAGGGATATGTTGATTATAATTCCTCAAATTACAAAACAAAATGAAAAATTACTAGATTCCCGTTTCCACTAATACAGGCTTTTTGTTTCAGGAATCGAGTATAAAATAGGAGAGATACTGCCAAGGGAAACAGGGACATGCCTCCAGTGTCAATGTGGAGCCGGAGCCCGAGTGACTTGCTCGCCCAAAGACTGCACCAGCCCGGACCAGTTCCATTCTCTCGAGCAGCAATCCCTCGACATGTTCGACGTCGATGTATTTTAGCTTGGTCGCGATCCCAGACCCAAAACCCGCCCTCCCGTCATCCCTATAATTTAACGCTTCATTACATATCATCCAATCCTCTTCTGTTCAAGATCAAAAGTATCGAGGATGAAAAGTTTTATACTTAACTTTTGGAAGAGAGAAATGAAAAAAAAAATTATAAAAAGCACCGGCTTTTTCCGTTTGACCCCAGCCTTTGTTATCAAAATAGTGTAGTTTTAATATATATATTTGTACAGTAGTTTAATGGTTGACCATCGACGATCTTATGTGACCAGCGCAATACCAACAACCACCACCAAGCAATTTATTTTTATCGCGATTGTAGCAGTTACGATTTTCATATTTTCCGTTGCATCAAATTATTTATTTTCATCAATTCATTGCTTTAACCCTAGATTGAAATTTCGATCAAAATAAACGTCAACAGTTTGACCAGTACTGATCATCGCGTCGGCCTACTTGTTTGTCCGCTTTGAAGAGCTTTTCGACGAAAAGCTACACGATCGCTATATTTTCCACGTGTATTTTAAATAAATTTAAGGCATATCAGACCGTTTTTTAATCATAATAGTATCACTGTGATCCTAAACATAAAAAAAAATTACAAATATCAATTTGATACATATATTCACATTTGATTTCGTTATATAAAAAAAACAGATTCTGTAGTAATTAGGGATTAAAATGTAGTATTAAATTAATTATAGAAATTAAGCTTTATTTCTTCAAATAACTTTTGCCTAAAACGTAATGAGCTTTTTTTTTAATCTTCACCTTATTTCAGTTTTTTGAGGCGACGTATCTTTAATTTTAATTATTACAAAAATATTCTTAATTTCTTCATAAAATTTGATTTCTCGCTGTAACTGCTACGATTGTAAAGTTCATTTTCTTTACAAAATAAAGCCTAAGGGAGTTTAGAATTTTTTAAATAAATTATTTCCTACGATGAGATGTTACATTCGAAACAAGCAAAAATAAATATTTTCATTTTATACACATAATATTATTTTGATAATTTATATTTCAATGAAACGTTTATTATTATATTTACAAAGATAGATCATTTTACTAATAAGGAATAACAATTATCAATGTATGTGTAGTGTTGTTTAGAAAAATTTATTGGGACCTATATATACAATCAGCTATTTATATATAAATATATTTAAATTAATTATGTGTTATGTGTTAGTTCAAATAGCATATTTCAGAAAAGAAAATATCTTAATTAATACGGAATCAGAGAGGATCTTGTAATTCTGAAAATGTTATAGCACAATAAACATGTACTTAATAAAGGTAACTTAATGTGATAGTTAGTAAACATTGTGTAGCCGTTGATAAAATTTAAATTCAAACAACGTTCGAAACGACCAGTAGTCTGTTGAGTTAAATATCGTTTTATATAAAAGAAAAAAATTCACAGCAGTAATTAACGTAGGAGTTAAGTAAAAAAAATAAAATAAAGAGGACTATTAGGGTTAAGAATAACGTGGGCATGCAATTCTCTTGGTTTCATTAAGTCTTCCAGTTTAATTTTGTTTAAATTGTAACATTTTAACAATAATTTGAAGCAGAGTCAGATGGCAGATAATTTTTGTGCTATTTAATATACATTTATTAGAATTCAATAACTGTAAGATGTATTATTATTAAATAAAGATTTTGTGTGGATACATTTCAGGAGTGTTTTTTTCCCTAGTCTAAATAAAATCTCTAGATGTGAGTAAATATCATTGTATGTTTTTTTTATAAACCGTTGTTTTGGTGTCTTTCTTGATTTAGAACAGGCACTCGGGCTTACTTTGGAATTGGGTTGACGCAGGACTTGATGGAAATGCCTATTTCGACTTTTTTCGGTTTGAAGGACAATTGTTAAATTTCTGGGTATGCATCTTAACTCTAAACTGTTATGGACGCGCCATATTAAGTAAGTATTAGAGAAAGGGGAAAGATTAAGTAATGTCCTTCGTAGTCTCTCAAATACTCGGTGGGGAGCAGCCCCTCGTCTGGACTACTCTTCTATAGATCAACCATCAGATCAGTAGTGAAATTCGGACTAATATTTTACGGACAATCAGCGGATACACATCTAAAAAAAACATTCATAAACAGGTGTCTCCGGCGCATCCTAGGTTGCCTTCAGAGCACACCAACCATTGCAATTTATGCGGAGGCCGCGGAACTTAAATTCTAGAATTATAAAGTTGGCCGTTAACAAAATTATTAGTCTTTATCAAACGGACAGTCCTAGTCTCTCACAGCTCAGGTCCAAGTAAGCAAGTTCTGGCTTCATAAAAAACCTCCACCGATTGTCACAGCGTTACTAACATGTGTGCCCAGAATTTACTCAGCATATAAGAGCAGACTCGATCCAATATTCCGTTTGCCCTCTTCTTCGGAATTTAGGGCACCTCGGTTTATCTACCTACGGGACTATTCGGGCTTCTCTCCCCAAATTGTAAATCAAATGTTTCTTGCTGATTCCAGGAGTCTCCTGGAAGGCCATCACCTGATTTTTACGTACGGCTCCCTAATAAACGATACGGCTTTGCATTGTACGACCCGATGCTCAGGGTAAACAAGAAATTAGCCCTTCCGGAAAAATGCTCCATATTTTCGGCCGAATCCTTGGCAGTGTTAAAGGCATTACAGTACGTCCAAGAAAATATATGGGTTTAAAAAGTCGCTGTTTTGACAGACTCAAAGGGTGTGATCTCTAAAATAGAAAGAATAATTGTGTAATAACAGCATTTTAGTGATAACTAATAATTTACTCACCAGGGGCATAAATGTTGCCCTAGGCTGGATCAAAGGTCACTCTGGAATAAAGGAAAACGAGAAAGTTGATCGATTTGCAAAGGAAGAGGTCATTGACGGTGAGCGGTGCGACTACGCAATGACCAAAAGTGACTGCCAGCGTGTACTGAACCATAGGTGGATTTCAGATTGGCAAGAGTTCCATAATTCCGCTGATGGAGGCTCACTATATAGAAGCAGATTTCCTTTGGTGCCGAAAGAACCGTGGATTCAAGGGGTCAGGGCACTTCGACATTATTTCACCGTAATCTCTAGAATACGGAGCAACCATGGTCTGTGGGGAGCACACATCGTAGAATCGGGCTTAAGGAGTCCCCCAATTGTGTAACATGCGGCTACCCAGAAGAGTTAAACCATATAGTAATGGAATGTCCAAGGTTTGAAAACGCAAGAGGTAAACTGCTAAACGGTATTGATGCCCTAACCGATCCGGACAGACCTTACTCTCTTGAGACGCTCGTTGCCTCAGGGAACAAGGAAGTGTATGCGCTGCTATTTTGGTTTCTGAAGGCATCTAATCTGAAAATATAACTTTATATAAACAGGATCAACTTTTGTTGTAACTTACCAATAAATGGTGGTGGCCTTATTTACTCGGTCCTCTCTCCATCAATAAAAACTGCATGGCTAATGCCTTAAGGCACAGTAAAAAAAAGGACAATTGTGCAGAAATTGATAAATACGAATTCCTTATTATGTGTCCTAAATATATGAAAGAAAGGGGCAGATATTTAATTCTCACTTTTAAATACGAAACCATTTTGCGCTCAAATAATGTACAAGTTTGAGTACCAATTGTTAAATTTTTGAGAGAGATTGGAAATTAAGTGTAAAGTGGATGAAATTTGTCTGGAACTTGCAACGGAATTCTGTATCCTTTATCCTTCATTCATATGAATGTTCAGAGAAATAATAAATTAAAACAGCAACTACAGAATGGCTGTGGCTAATTAGGTTAATGCAAAAAAAAAGTTTCCTACGAAGCAAAAAGCTTGAGCAATGGTTGGAAGGAATATGGGCTGGAATCGTTATTGCGATTAATGGTATCTAATGGTTTCTGTCAGTTTTCCATTTTTATTTTGTCAATGGTACTCTTTTTTTTATTTTTTCGTGTGTTTTAATGCAGTTACATAATTTTTAAAAAAATAAAACATTTATTCATTTTTAAATATTTAATTTCTTCTTTGTTTTGCAAATATTTCAATATTATGCTTTTTATATTCATATAGGTTCTATGTATTCATTGCATTTTTTTAGTTTGATCATTTATTTATTTTACTATATTACACTCCAAATGTATTTGACTTTTGATTTTTATCTAACTTTAAAGCTTCCTACCTAAAATATGTATTTTATCAAACTTAAATCTGCTTTTTCTTTTAATTGAGTTTTACCTCGTCTAAAGAAGAGTTGACTAATTTCTATGTATTCATTTAAAAAGAACTGATTGTTAAATTTTTGAGAGAGATTGGAAATTAAGTGTAAAGTGGATGAAATTTGTCTGGAACTTGCAACCGATTCCTGTATCGTTTACCCTTCATCTACATGAATGTTCAGCGAAATAATTATTCAGAAATAGTGAGGTACGGTCTGGTGTGATGTAGGTTTCTGAAAAACATTTTCTTTATCGTGCCAACATTTCGATCTTTATTGAGATCATCTCGATTGAAAATAAAAAAAATTTTTTTTGCATTGTAAAAATTATCTTTTTTCCACATCCTACATGTATTTGTTAAATTTAAACAATGTTTGTAAATCACAGGCCCTGAAGATGATCTCAATAAAGATTGAAACGTTGGCACGATCAAGAAAATGTTTTCCTGAAACCTACACCACACCAGACCGCATCTCACTATTTCTGAATAATTATGGACTAACCGTCACTAATCACCACACACACGTTCAGAGAAATAATAAATTAAAACACCAACTACACAAATGGTATGAATGACTTTGGCTAATTAGGTTAATGCAAAAAAAGTTTCATACAAAGCAAAAAGCTTGAGCAATGGTTCGAAGGATATGGGCTGGAATCGTTATTGCCATTAATGGTATCTAATGGTTTCTGTCAGTTTTTCCATTTCTATTTTGTCAATGGTACTGTTTTTTATTTTTTCGTGTGTTTTAATGCAGTTACACAATTTTTAAAAAATAAAACATTTATTCATTTTTAAATATTTAATTTCTTCCTTGTTTTGCAAATATTTGAATCTTATTCCTATTATATCCATATAGTTTCTATGTAATCATTGCATTTTATTACCTTGATCACTTATTTATTTTACTATTTTACACTCTATTACAATGTGTTGTTGATTTTGATTTTTATCTAACTTTACTTCCTGCCTAAAATTTGCTGTGTATTTGTATTTTATCAAACTTAAATCTGCTTTTTCTTTTAATTGGGTTTTACCTCGTCTAAAGAAGCGTTGACTAATTCTATGTATTCATTTAAAAAGAACCGATTGTTAAATTTTTGATTTCAGATGTACGTTTCTGAAAAACATTTTCTTTATCGTGCTAACATTTCGATTTTTAATGAGATCATCTTGATTGAATATAAAAATATTTTTTTTGCATTGTAAAAATTCACTTTTTTCCACATCCTACATGTATTTGTTAAATGTAAACAATGTTTGTAAATCCCAGGCCCTGAAGATGATCTCAATAAAGATCGAAACGTTGGCACGATAAAGGAAATGTTTTTCTGAAACCTACACCACACCAGACCGCATCTCACGATTTCTGAATAATTATGGACTAACCGTCACTAATCACCACACACACGTTCAGAGAAATAATAAATTAAAACATCAACTACAGAAATCGTATGAATGGCTGTGGCTAATTAGGTTAATGCAAAAAAAAAGTTTCATACAAAGCAGAAAGCTTGACCAATGGTTATGGGAAAGGATTATGGATGGAGGGAAAAAACTATTATGATCTGGAACCCCTATTGCGATTAATGGTATCGCTTGATTTCTGTCAGTTTTTGCGTTTCTATTTTGTCAATGGTTCTGTTTTTTATTTTTTCATGAGTTTTAGTGAAGTTACTTAATTTTTTCAAATAATAAAAAATTTATTCATTTTTAAGTTTTTAAATATTTAATTTCTTCTTTCTTTTGCAAATGTGTGAATCTTATTCCTTTTATATCCATATAGTTACTATGTATTCTTTGCATTTTACTACCTTGAACATTTATTTATTTATCTATTTTTTACGAGAGTTTGCAACAACAGAGGTTTTATCAACCCTCGGGGTGCCGCTGTTTTTGAAAAAAAAAAAACAGCACATTTGTAAGTATGTCAGGTTCGAATGCAGGGCCGCTGAATTCGAACCCGGGACCTTTACCTTACAGTGATGAGCGCCGTGTCTACGCCTAAACCGTTGCGTCCACCGACGCCCCCTTATTTATTTTACTATATTACACTCTATTACAATGTGTTTTTGATTTTTATCTAACTTTACGTCCTGCCTAAAATTTGCTGTGTATTTGTATTTTATCGAACTTAAATATGCTTTTTCTTTTAATTGAGTTTTTCTTCATCTAAAGAAGCGTTGACTAATTCTATGTAAAAAATGACACGCTGAAAGAAAAATTGTCAAGCCTTACACAAAAAAAAATACAGCTGATAAAAAATTATGTATTGTAGATAAAAGTTGTAAATTTTAGTGAAATAATCAAAAAAAAATTGAGGAAATATGGAAGACCCTAATACTGATAGCGTTTGCCGGCCTTTTACACACGTGGACATGATCATCGATTGGAGAGCACCGGAGGTGACGAGCACGTGGGCGTTCCACGTGGTCGAGCTGAGGAGGAGGAGCAATTTCTGCGTGAAAGGATATTCCAAGTGTACTGCTGGCGCTGTGCCGCCTCAGCTCCTGAAGAGGTCCGAATGTCCCAAGACCCTCTACTGCCACGATATGCAGGGTGGATATCTCGAAGACAAGTAAATTGCCATGTTCCACCGTTTTTCAGTCGATTGACGGCTAATTTGAAAGACATTCGGTTTTAGATATTCCTTCGGGAGCCAGAAGAAGGACGAATTCCAGTTCTTCCGATGGTCGGGCATCGATATATTCGTCTACTTCACGAGAAACCTGCTGACCGTGCCACCTCTTGGCTGGATAAACGCCGCCCACAGAAACGGCGTTATCGTCTTAGGTATACCGTAAATCCAATCTTTTGGGCATTTTTGACCGAAACGTAATTAAAAGGGACTCTGGTCTCCGAGCCGGGCACCGAGTGCATCTGGGATCTGATCCTCCATTCGGACGAGAGCGTCGACAACTTCGCGATTAACATGGCTTCGATTTGCTTCTATTACGGCTTCGAGGGGTATCTGCTTAACATAGAGCACGACATCGTTTGCGAGAAGGTCGAACTTTTCATCTACTTCATCGAGACTCTGAGGAGGCACTTGAAAAGCATCGACGAGGACAATCTCCTCATATTCTACGACTCTCTCACCTACCCTGAAGGACGACACGAATACCAAAATGTCCTCAATGATAACAATTGGTAAGGAAAACTTCTAAAAAAATTACAACTAACGAATTTCTAAATACCTAATAATTTTTGGCTATCATATGTTCCGTTGTTAATAATCAAACTGCAACCAAGCCCAGAAATATTCCTATCAACATTATTACCATGTCAAAATTGATTGATATACTTTTAACAATTCATCAATATCTCCCAAAACCCCTAGCTTTGAACGATAAATATACACTATGTAAAATTATCTGTGTCATTCCCTCGTTTTTAAAGGTTAAGGTTTTTAATTCAGTCATTCTCTGATGCTAAAAATGCGTTTAAAAATCATGATTAAAAGGACATACCATCGGTCGCTTGGATCGGCAGAGTAGCTCACATGGAGAAATTGGCTCTCCTTCACCTGATTACGTACACTTTTCTCCATATAGAGAGCGCGTAAGAACGCCACCCGATATGAGAATTTTGCCTGAAAACGGCAGCGAATATTTGTTCCGATTCTTGGAGAAAACAGGATTGTTTTATTATATGTAGTAATGAAAGATTTTAGCGTGTGTTAATGTTGAATGTATTTATTAGCGTGAATGTATAGTGTGAAATGGCCGACGGCGGATTATTGAGTACCCCATCGACCCTCAATAAGATTACTCATATAATATGTGTAAATTGTGATGGAATGTCGAGTACTCCCCTGCTCTTATTGAGTGTTTAGTGACTGGGAGTTTTGTGGCCTTGACAAGGGCCGGTGTTGTGTTGAAAGAACCCGTGACGAAGATATAAGGCCTAGACCGTGCAAGTGCGTAGGTTGTGATGTGTGACAGAGTAAACCGTTGGCTGAGGTCTGGGGGCTCGTGAGTCGGTTGACTCCACAGAGTCCGAAGGTACTGTAGTGCAGCAATTAGCCGAGAGCTGCGTTTGGCGTTTATAGCCAAGTCGGCTGTATATAGAAGGCGAAAATCAGGCTAAAGCCGCGAGTACCCTTGCTGTCGTAGATGGTGTTCCATTAGTGATAGCTCGTCGGGTTGACGAGTCTGCTGTCGTTCATTAGTGATGAATGAGACCTCGTCGTGTCGACGAGTCTGGTGTCGTTGTTGCCGATGTCGGTTACATTAGTGATTGGTGAGATCTCGTCGGCTTGACGAGACTGATTCTAGCGGTGCAACCCCTGCTTATAAAGGGAAGAGCTCTACTCTGATTGGCTGCAGAGTGGAGGGCGAGAACATTCCATAAGTGGTAGTGACATCTAGCGGTAACTACAAGTGGCCACTACAAGTGAACAGTATTTAAATAAGAAATAATGTACTTTCAAATATGTGAGAGTGCCTAGGTTTAAAAATTTACCTCTTCCCCAATGGACTTCACCGCCATATCTCACCTCCAAATTACATCGTGATATGGCGGTTTTCGCCTCTTCTTCAGAGATGCGTCAATTCATGAACCCTGCTGCGTTATAGTTTCACCCTCCTGTGCATTGATCTGTACTTTGTGGCGGGTGAAGACAGATTCTCCTTAACCCTCTCATCGTGCATGGGTTCGAAAGATACGTGGAACGTGAGCGTCGAAAAAAAACTGTAGTAGTCAGGGTACCTGGACACGTCGGGATGAAGGGCAACAACGTAACGGCCAATCCTCCAAACCTTCCTACCTCAATTTAGCCCGCCGACGCTAAATGAATAATAAAGAGTACGGTACAGAAAAGATGGCAGCGTTAGTGAGAACGGTCGTTAGGTGCCTCTAGAGTCCAAATCGCTAAAGGACTAACCCGACTCAGAATTGGTCATAAGCAGTTGACTCAAGGGCATTGGGTCCTTCATGTAGAAAACGATTGCGTTCCATTTTATGGAAGGGATTCCTTTGCGTTGGACTCCTGATGGGGGCACTGTCACTTAAGAAAACACATGCACCGGATAAGAGTACAGACAGAAGATACACTGTGCAGATAATGTCGGGAAGAGGAGGAGACTGCAGAAACATAAAATGTGTTCTGCGGTCTCCTCCTCTACACATTTTATGCTTCTGCGAAGGTCTGTGTAGGTGCAGGTTCTTGCAGCTAGGAAAAAACCACAAACAAGATCCTACACCAAGGAACCGCTGGCAAAGCTTTGGAGGCTGGTTAATAGCCTGAAGCTGGCCAGTGAGTTATAACTAATAGAGGAGCACAATAGGTTTAGGTGTAGCACAATTTAGGTCGAGGTGGAGTAGGCCTTGTGGCCGCCTCTCTTATCCCTATCCCTCTCCCTTCCTTTGCTCGATATAAAGAGCGAGTAGGAATGCCACTCGTGAGTTATTTCGCCCCCGTTCTTATTTTTTAGGGATGCACTTTTATTTTATATAGTTCTTCTATATTAATAACCTTCTCCTAATTTTTTTAAAGATTAAGTGCATGTATTAGCGTGAGTATTGTGATAGGGGCAATGATGGAATATTGAGTACACCATCGACCCTCAGTTAGATTAGTTATACTGTATAATATATGGTCATGGAGGCATATCAAGTACTCCACCTAACTGGGCATGTAAATTGAAAGAATGTATTTAAGGGTGAGTGGGTTGGGATTTAGAAACTGATTGCGTTGAAGGCTGATGTGACCTATGTTTTAAAAATGTTTGATGTTTTTAAATAACATAATGATTTTCTTTTTAATTATGGGTCTTGTATTTTAAAGGGTTTACTTTAATTTGACTGACGGGATATTCATAAATTACAACTGGCTCGAGTCCTATTTGTCTTCCATGAAAGAGTATCTTAACGTATCGCCTGACCGTGTTGTCGATGTATTTCTCGGCGTTGATGTTTACGGCAGAGGAAGCCAAAACGGAGAATTCAGGACGGACAAGGTAATCGACTAACAGTTTTCTTGCAGAACTTTAAACGCGATTCTTTTCCAGACTATTGAAAAAGTCCGTAAGTATGGCATGTCTGTGGCGCTTTTTGCCCCTTCTTGGGTGTACGAGTCATCGTCCAACAGGAAGGAGTACATCCAGAACGACTACCAATTTTGGAACCAGTGCTACGAGCACATGTACATCGCGGGCACGACTGTCCTTCCGTTTCAGACTTGCTTTTCCATCGGGCACGGCAACAACTACTACGAAAACGGAAACGTGAGTACTTGGTCTGTAAGACAAATGGACAATTATTCACCTCCTTCCTTGTAGATCAGGCAGGCCGGACCTTGGTACAACTTGGCCAGAATGGCTATCCAGCCGTCGGAGACGATCGGGTACGAAGGATACGTCGACAACACATGCATGTGCTATTACGAACTGGACGCGTACAAAGGCGGCGGATGTCTACTCATAAAACAATATGAAGGAGAACCGCATTACGACCGGTCGGCATCAACTACAGAAGGAATTAACAATATTTTCATTGATTTTATCACTTTCAGGCTTTTCATGTGCGATTTTAAAGTTAGGAAGAACGATAAGCTCATTTTCAAGTACGTTTCAAAAAACAATGTACAAGGGACTGACACACGTCTTGAGTTTTTAATTGCATATACAAATGAAGACTTTCAACCGAGGTAATAACTGATTTAACAAATAAAAAAACAAAAAAGCACAGCAAAAGTTTTCCTTTGAGAACCATCACTGGCAGAATATGCACTACCTAATTTTGTCCAATATTCGTCAGTACTTGCATATATGTACATATATTGACAACAAAATCCATGTTATACATAAAACATATTATTTAATACAATAATTAAAATTTTCATAATTCCCACTAATAAGAGTACTCAATATTCCTCGGGGAAATTGAGAATAGAGCCCTTCCATTCACGCTAATAAATACATTCATACTACTACAGAGTACAGAATAATCGTCGAGGTAATTGAGAAATAATATCATATGTAGAATCACGCTGATAATTATATTCATGAGGCTTCATCCGCATTGCGCCAGATTACTTAATATTCCTTAAAGTAACGGGATGGCGCTCGTTCATTCACGCTGATAAATTACATTCACCCGTCCTAGAGTACTAAATATTCTTCGGGGTAATTGGGAAAAGAGTCTCTCCATTCACGCTAATAAATACATTTAACCTACGTCCAGTATACTCAAGATTCTTCGTAACAATTGGGAAGGAGTCCCTCCATTCACGCTAATAAATTACATACACCCTGCCCTAGAGTACTCAACATTTCCAGAAGAAAAGAAGCCCCTTCATTCACGCTTACATTTAATACATTCATATTACCCCAGAGAACTTATTATTCATTGGAATGAGTATTGAGATCCTTATTCATGCTAATAAATACATCCACAAAACAATCTTTATTGGCAATGCCCCAGAGTGCTCAATATTATTCGCGGTAATTAGAAAAGTAATCCCCTGCGTTCACTCTAATAAATACATTCACCCAACGCCTATAGTACTCCAGGTTCTTCGTAATAATTGGGAAGGCGTCCCTCCATTCACGCTAATAAATTACACCCTGCCCTAGAGTACATTCCTTAGAATAATAGGAAAAGAAGCCCCTTCATTCACGCTTATAAATACATTCATACTGCCCCAGAGAACTGATTATTCATTGGGGTGAGTATTGAAATACCCATGCTAATAAATACATCCACAAAACAATCTTTATTGGCAATGCCCCAGAGTACTCAATATTATTTGCAGTAATAGAAAAGTAGCCCCCTGCATTCACTCTAATAAATACATTCGCACTAACCCAGACTACTCAATATATATCATGCTAAGTAATACATTTACCTACTCTAGAGTAATCGATATTCCTTATAAGGAAAAGAGACGGATGCAAAATTCTTGGAGTTGATGCTAATAAATTGCTTCCTCGAAGTACTCAATATTCCTTGAAATAATTGGGATGCAGATCCTTCATTCACCCTAATCAATTACACCCCCCTGCCCTAGGGTACTGAATAGTCTTTGGGGAATTGAGAAATGTCACATTCATGCTAATAAATTCATTCACACATTATTCGCAATGCCCCAGAGTACTCAGAGATTTGCCAGTGTAATTCGAGAAGCCCCTTCATTCATGCTAATTAAAACATTCATTCTATTCTACAGTACTCAAAATTCCCTGTTGAAATTTGAATAGAAGCCATGTTCATGCAAAAATACATTCCACTGCACCAAAGTACTAAAGGTGCTCCTCCATTCGCCTCTGGTCACTCCAACCACACATACATAATAACCTTCTTTCATTCACCCCTTCCATTCAAGCTAATAAATACATTTCTATATGCCCATACACCCAATATTCCTCAGGGGGTTCCAAGAATAAAAAATGAAAAATTCTTAATATCTCTTGTAAATTTTAACCTTAACTTTTTGCTCACAGCATACAAGGCCAATTTGAAAAAACACTCAGTTTTTCATCACACTTTCAAGGAATATATTCCCTTAATCATATAATCCTTAACTGAAACCATTAATAATCATAGAAAAGGTTAACAAATATAAACAAGGTTTCAAGCATAATGAAATTGAGAATTTAATTTATGCTGACCTAGATCAAAAATCTGTCAATTTTGGCATGTCCTTGTGGCTGTTTTTTATTGTAAAATTATAATATTAAAATTAATTACAATATTAATTACATCGAAGATGAATGTAGAGTAAATTTACAGTTTTTAAAATAAACTTTATATTTTTCAGAAATCTGACCATGTAACCTTAGTCCCTGTTTATTTTTATATTATGTACACATTATATGTTTCTGTTTAGTCTGGTTTTTTTAATGTTTTACAGCCCTTCTACCCCTAATGCATTTTTATACTGGTGTATATTTAAATTGCACTTTAAAAAATATTTCTGTCAAATAGGTACAATTAGCGGTATATTAATTATAAAAAATGTCCAACTTTTTTAACCTATGAACAAATATGTCTTTTGATCATAGAGCAGATATTTTACAAACTGACAAATTCACCTAAAAACAACTGCTTTTGCTCCATTCTAGCCATTATTTATTTATCAAATCAAATCCGAGAGCAATTTCTCAAAATAACAAAAGCTGTAATATTTTTATTAATTTATTTCTAGTTTATAAAAACTTTTGTTTCAAGCAAACACTCAGCTTATTGTTTAATATTAATTTTACACAGTACAAGATGTATAACTATGCCAAAAGATGCACCTGAGGTCATGAGTCCGGATGAACATATTGGTTTATGGTTGACGCAGTAAGTTTATTTTTCCGATATAAAATAACTACTAAATCGGTATAACTGGTACTAGGTAGATGGACTGGGGATGGGGTTTGGTAACTTTAGGCTTGTCTGGGAGGCCTGGAACACTAACGGGATACACAGGAAACAAGCTCCTTGTAGTTTAAAAAAAACTGAACCAGCACTGGGTAAATTATTTGGTCCATCTAAAATGAGCATTTGACCCAGTGCAAGTTCAACTTATAGATAAAATATACCCATATTCCCACATTCTTGTTTCTTACGCTGGTGCATCATGTTGGTGGGTTGGCCGGGCTCGGTTGGAGAGGCACCAATCCAGAGCTTCGGGTTCAGGTGGTTCTGTGCTGGATTGGAAGTTGCTCCAGTGAACTTGAAGCACACGATACTGGCTAGAAATCATCAATAAAACACCTGTGTGCATTGAAATGTTCGAAAAGTATAGTGGTGCAAAATCTGTTTTCCTCCGATGGAGTCCTGTCTTTGCTGCATATACTGCAAAGACTCGAAGGATTATTAATTAGTTATAATTAAAAAAATGGGATAGAAATACATAGTTTAAAATTAACTAAAGCTGATAATTTATTAATTATTTTATGAATTATATTTGAACAAAGTTTCAAATTTGATTTGGCAAGTAGAATTGTGATGCAAAAATCTATTTTAGAAATGTTCTGTAATTTGATCAATTAACACTTATTGCAGGGGGTGTTGGTGGCTCAACACTGTAAAGATCCTGGGTTCAAATCTGACAATTTGAACCTGATGTACTTACAAATGTGCCTTTTTCAAAATCACCAGTACTCAGAGGATTCATATAATTTTGTAGTTCAAATAACCTCATAAAATAAAATAAAAAATAAAAAGCATTATTTGGTTATTAGACTCAAAACAACTTTTTTGGTTAAATTCACTAATTTCGTGGTCCGCTTGACCAATTAATATATTACAATTAATTAAGGTTTTTAGTTGAGATAAAAAAGTCAATGGCACGAGCGGGATTTGAACTCACGATCTTCAGCTAGATACGCCGGGGTTGAGATGGGAAGTTAGTGTCCGAGTGGATCGAGGTCACGATAGCTCAAGTGGTAGAGCAGCGGCGTATCTAGCCGAAGATTGTGGGTTCGAATCCCGCTCGTGCCATTGACTTTTTTATCTCGACTAAAAACCTTAATTAATTGTAATTTTTTGGTTAATATAGATATCAACATTTTATAATTTTTAATTTTTTTTGTAACAGTGAATTTGTTATAACATGCCCAGCAGATATATCTATAATAGAAATAGCTCTTAAGCTCGTCGGTGACAGAGTGTCTGAGTTGCTCCTGGGTAAACTTTACATCGATCTTATCCAGGATCAACCATACTTCGACGAGCGGTTCAGAACGTAAGTATCAAATATTTCGCTAAAATCAAAGCAGATTTCTTAAAATTTTTTTTAATTTTTACAGACTCAGATACAGGCCATGGTACAAGAATATTTCCAGAGAATGCATATGACGTATACTGTTGTCACATGATTTTATCCTAAATAAAAACTTGTACGGAGCAAATGTTTTATTATTCGTTAAAACAAAAATAGATTTATTTAGAAAATATTACGATGAGCATAAAATTTGTCTAAAATTCAAATTAAATCCCCTATTTCCTATATCTTCATCCTCGCTGATGGCGGTTCTTACTGTAAGCACATACGGCTGTGATTTTGCTGGAAAAAATTTATACTGTTTGTTTATGCTTTTTTTTTTTTTTTTAATTCAAAACTTACTTCTCACAGTGTTGAATGAGTTTCCGCAGAACCTGTCTTCTACAAGGTCCATCCCTTCCCTAATTGGCGAGGGGATGATGACAAAATTATTCGTACAGTCGGTACCCATTAGAGCAACACCTGTTGGAAAATTCATACTACAATTTAGTCTTAAAGACATTTATGCACTTTTCTACCTGGTAGACCGGCCGTCGTATCTCCAGATATCGTAAAGGAATAAATGCTGTCTGACGACGCAGACCACTCGATTTCACAGTAGCCGATTGTTGGTTTGACACAGACGCCGTAGTTCAAGTTGTTCAACTGGTGATTTGTTGGATCTTTAAAAAAACAAATCAATTTAAATAATTAAAGAGCGAGCGAATAACAGAAATATCTTTATCTTCTGTTTTCCCAAAAATAATAAAAATTAAACGTTTAAAAAATGCAATATTATTAATATTTTTCCTAGATTAAATTAAAAAGTATACATTTCTTGCAGAACTCCATAAAAATTATTAAATAAAAGGGTCAAATTAAACTTTGTCCCACCTTTGATCATACAGAACTAGTTTTTGATCCATCATAATGGATAATCTATAAACAATAAAGTCGGATAGTATCCGACAAGGGGCATCTGTTTGCCAGTGGTAATTATTTATAAGGTGAATTAGCAATAATTCCTCTATGTCACTTAGTATTAAGGATCCCATTAATTAGGTGAATTACATAAACATAAACCTTTGTCCATATCATGTCCGAGTTCATCAAAGGATGGTACACTTATAATTAACGTAGATAATTCGACTTGGATGACTTTCGCATATGTATCAAAACTATATTAATTTTCTTTGTTTGTTCACTGCTGTGTTCTTTGAAGATGAATTGTGATTTACTCTTTTATATAAGCTCAAATCTGTGCACGGATCTACACCCACATGTACAGAGTTCAACCTCATTTCTCATATTCCATTGTTTCCAGTTCCAGGTTTTATAATTTAAAATAAATTACTGGCAGGTCTTAAGAATCACCTCCCTTGGGTCTTATCCATCCGGCCACCGAGGTTGGTCTCCAGAGGCTACAGTTAGGTCATTTCAACTCCCAATGCAACTTCCTAAATCCAAAGTTAATCACACTCTCACTCATTCTTATATTATTTTCTATTTACACCCGATACTCAGGGTGGTAGTATTCTATCACCCTTTACACCTATTATATAACTTTACTAATTGATGAGCTAGTCAATATTCTGCCATCAACTCTATGACAATACACATTCACGCTAATAAATACATTCACTCCCAACCCAGGAGGTCACAAAACTATCTATGTACAATAAAACAATCCTGTTTCCTCCTTCAGCCTTGTCAAGCACGATTCTCATCACGAGTAGCATTCCTACACGGTATGTATATGGAGCCAAGAATTGCATCGTTGACACATTACAACACTTTGGCCTATTTGTAATCAGGTGACAATGATGCTAGTTCCTCTGAGGACCACCTATTGATAGTAGTCTTGATACTGAGAACTTCTCTGCTGATTCAGCCCAACTTTTTTTAATCCTATTTGTTATGATTTTAGCATCAGAGGCCGGATGGCGGTAGTTAAGTCCAGAGGTTGGAACAAGTTAAGTCCCAGCCTTAGTCACCTCGTCCACCTTTCAGTTACCCTCAATATATTGTGAATTAAAAGACAGTTAATAGTGTTAATTTTTAAATCCATTACATGGTCCAATTGACCAATAAACTTTTTCAATTAATTAATATTTATGAAAGGCATTGGTTGAGGCTAAAAATCTAAATTGAAAAATGGCAAAAAGGAGTGAAAATTCGAGAGTTGAGGTTGAGATGGAAAGTTGGTGTCCGAGCGGATCAAAGTCACGATAGCTCAAGTGGTAGTGCATTTAGCCGAAGGTCATGGGTTCAAATCCCGCTCGTGACACTGACTTTTTTATCTCAACCAATGCCTTTCATAAGTATTAATTAATTGAAAAGTGTTAATTCTGTTGGCAATTTTTTTTTATTGTCAATAACAAATAATATTATGACCAATTAAAAAAGTATTGTGTGACATACATGGTAAACAGTATTTATAAAAATAGATAACAATATTTATACTATAAAAATAACCTTGATTAAAAAAACTTAACTCCATTATTTTAAATCTAGAATTTTTTTTAACTAAACGCACCAATTTATTTATGCAATATATTTCAGGCCATGTCCCTGCTCCCTCTTCAGAGCTCACTATTTTGCTAAATTGAACTACTAACTATGAGTTCAATTTAGCAAAATAGCGAGCCCTGAAGAGGGGCCATGGACATGTCCCGAAATTCATAAACAACTGAAATATATTGCATAAAAATACAGTTGTATGTTTAGTTTTAAAAAAAAAAAGAGATTTAAAATATTTTTACCACCAAATTAAGTTAAAATTAATATAAAAAAATAAAATTTGGATTAACTCTACTATTTTTCTGTTGTATATCCAATTTTTTGAATTAAAAATAAGCCCTAAAGGATGTTCATAATTTGGCTTATTTTCATTTATGGTTCAACAAAAAATTCCCTAACACCGTATAAATCCACATCCATTTAATTAAAACTTGCCTAATATAAACATCGTAGCACTCCCGTCAAAGTTGAAACTGGACACGGAGCCAGAAGTAGAGGTGAAATACATCAGACATCCACTGGGAGCTGTAATAAAAAAATAGAAACTGAATAATATACAAAACGCCTGAAGCGGTAACTCTTCTTTTTTAAACTATTCATACAATTATGTACATTTATAAACAAATAATTAAAAAATCTAGCTAGTTAGTTGTCAATAAACCCTAATGAAACCATCTTGGCTCCCTTTATCAACAAAAGAGCTTTAGGAGAAGGAAATATTTAGGAAAAGAAGTAAAATATTTAGGCGTCATCTTTGACCAAAGACGTCTTGGAAAAAGCAAGTAAACAAAATCACAAGCAAAACAAAAATTGCCAATGGTTTTGTCCAATTTCAAAAATTAGCAGCTTTTTCTTCAAAACGTGTGAAAAGGTTAGATCAGGTGGATTTCTCAAATAGACTACACTATACCTGTAATTAAAAATGTTGTTTTAATTGTATTCACTGCTCTGAAATCAAATTTAATTTTCAGTCTAGTTCAAAAATTCGATAGGTGTAAAAGAAATGGATCTGATTAATAAGGTTTCCAAATCATTTGCCATTATTTCCCAGTAGTTTGATCACTCCTGATCATCCCAGATAGCTTATTCTTTTTGATTGTATTTAAATAAAGCATATGCACATTAAGTTATATCTGGTGCTGGAAGAATAAGAATAGGCAAGATGTCCAAATCACTGACACATTCAACGACTCAGACTTTATTATTTGTCATTGTTTATCACGTATTATGAAAATAGTGAATTCTTTGGGATAGCAAAGTATCATCTAAACATTTTGGGGTCGTAGTGATTTCTCCTTTTGGCAGTTAAACTTTTATTTATTGTGTCAATCTCTGCTAATAAATTTTGTAGAAGATTTTTTTATTATTATTATTAAGTAGCGAATTCTTCTCAGGCGTATAGTTCCAAGAGCTGTTTTCCCAGATAACCCAGTCTTTTCAAAGCTACTGCAAGGCAGTTTTTTTATTTTTTTTATTTTATGTTCTGTCATCGATTGGCCATTTATTGATAGCCCCATTTTTTAAGTTACCAATTAATTATGCCAGATAGAATTTTTAATTTCATTCCATTCCTGAAGAATTTTCTGAAGAAGAAGAAGAAAAGGAGAAAAAGAAAATTCTGAGAAGAATTTCCTCTTGTTCTTGTTAGGCTGGTTTTGTGAGCAGTTTTTGCTTGCCTCGTTGATTTTAGCACCTCTAGTATTTGTTGTGTTCTTTATTTACCAAAGATTCCAGTTCTTCTTTAATTTATGCAAGAAAATAGATGATTTAGACCTATGATTTATTCCAAGCTCTTTGTTTTTGTTTTTTTTGGGGGGGGAATATATCTGCTGTCACGTTGCCTGCAATTCCCTCATGACTTGGGACACATTTTATCCCAATTTTATGGTTATTGAGGCAGCTCCAGATAAGTTTTGATAAGTCTCACAGACTTGGGGAACTTTTGCCAGAAAGAATTATTCTCGTTGCACCTTTGAGACATTATTGTTTATTTCACGTGCACGTGTTTTTATGGCAAGCAATTGGCTTGAAAGATGGTTGTGGGGAGGGGCGAGTTCCATTTGGTGTTCAAAGTTTGGCCCTTTATGCCCATTCCCGTACTATTTCCATCCTTGAGCCATCCGTAAACCAGAAGACCTACTGGTTTATCTGCTTTGTTTTTTTCTTTATCAATAATGATTTTTTTTAAACTTTATTGAAGATTTTGGTTAGATGGTTGTTTTTTGGTATCCAACGAATTCTCAGTTCCTTGATCACCTCTATCCTTTTTACATTAGGTGGTAGCTTGAGTATACGTTCCATTGCGGCTGTGTAGTTTTAACAGCACTAATGATGCTAGGGCACGCAATTTTTTTTATTTTTAGAAAAATCTACTCTGTCTTTCTTTGAGACTTTAGAAATGAAAAACCTGAAATACCTTCTGAATGTGCATAAATTAAATAAAATAAAGTGCATGAAGCAATAAAAATTACAATATTTATTATTACGATGTTTTCTTACATTTCGACCTCAACAGTTTTACTTGTGATTTTTCCTTCTTGAAGGTGGGATAACAGGTCATCTCAAAAAAACCACAACCAGTTTTTATCCACAATGTTTCGGATTTATTTTAATCCTTCCTCAGGTGTTAACGCAATGGTTAAAACAGTGGTCGTCAGTCATTAACATTTTATAATAGTTTATTTTAAAAACGTTTGTTCGGAGTCTGAATATGTACCACACTGGCTCTTTTTTAAATGAACTGAGGAAGGATGAAAATAAAGCCGAAATGTTGTGGATAAAAACTGGTTGTGGTATTTATTTTTAATAAGCCTAAAATAAAAAATATGTGTATGTAATTTTTCCATACCTAGTTCAACACTGTCACATGAGATTTGAGTTATTTCAATATTCCAAAATCGTTGATCATTCAGGCTGCTTGTCGTGTCAACAGTGACTTGATGAAAGGCGCAGTTTGGGTCAAAATCGACATAAACTATCGAAGCGTAAACATGATAGATAAAATATTAAAATGTAAAGCCTATCAAAAAATTGACTACCTGTTTTGTCATTATTATTCCCGCAGATTATTGGTGTCGTGTGAGATCCAAGGGACAGAAAGTCATCGTTGCACTCCCCAGCATTGTTTGGCTGTGCCAAGTTTAACTGGAGGAATTTCATTCTGAGCTGGAATTTTACAATAATAAACAAGAATCCAAAATTGAATTTCAAAACAAAAAAAGAAGGATCTTTTTCACCTGACAAATATTATCTTTGGCTTTATGTATCGTAAGTTGACACATTGCTCCTCCAGTCTTTGGAGAAGGAAACTCTGGGTTGGTGAAATACGTTATTTGCGATTTTGTACTATCACCACAGCTTTTAACAACTGTAAAGTTTGTTATAAAAAAAAATTCATTTTTCTAAAAGAAATAATACTTACAGACACAGCAGACGCCTTTATTGCTGGCACATCGGCCTGATGGGGTTCCTGTATTGGCCTCACACTGAAGTTTGCTCAGGCAAATCCCTTCCTGGTTGTTTCCAGTGCAGGCCACCCTCGGTATGATAGTTTTTCTATAAAAAGGCAGTATGAACGGCCAAGGCCATACTATTTCAAAAAAACAAAAACAGAGGACAGAAGTGTTCAGAGTATTGCTTAGGTCTTACAGCACACATGACTTACTCCTCGGTTCCCTATTTGTCGGATATTCCTTCATTTCTTCACTCAATGGATCACATTTCGATAAAAACAGTGAATAGAGGAAGACATGTGCCAGTATCCACATCATCTCTGTGACTGAACTCTTTCTCCCAATTAACACCCTGGTACTAATTCATGCGAAGAAAGTAAAGATCTACTGTCCTCATTGACTGAACACTTTTTAAAATTAGCATACCAGACAATTGTATGAATATTTTTTTAATCACGAGTGTTAACTTAAATATTTATTAACAAATAATAGCAGTATTTGAAAGCCACTGTGTAGTTTGGTCATTTCCAATCATTTTGATCTACTTAACCTTGTTGTTTTGATCTTTCAATAATTATTAATTAAACCAGATAAAATCTGCGTTGTTTTTCTACATACTTTATTGATAGATAATAACTTAGCCAGGATATTAAATTGTGATATTTCTTCCGTGAGGTCTGCAGGTTAATGAATGAATAGTTTGGTCATTTCCAATCATTTTGGTCAGCCAACCCTTGCTGCATTGGTCTGTCATTGATTGTTAAGGCAATGATTATTAAATCAGACATTGGTAAAATTTGTCTTTTTTTTGTACATATATTTTTATGAATCTGTAGTTTGGTCATTTCCAATCATAAAATCTACATTTTGTTTTTACATACTTTATTAATAATAACTTAGCCAGGGTATTAAATTGTGATATTTCTTCCGTGAGGTCTGCAGGTTCATGAATGAGTAGTTTGGTCATTTCCAATCATTTTGATCTGCCTAACCTTGTTGTTTGGGTCTTTCAATAGTTGCTGAGGCTCGTTTATTAAGCCAGATTAAATCTTTTACATATATTATTAATAATAACTTAGCTTCAATGTTAAATTGTTATATTTCTTTTTGCAATTTGAGGGCTCATGAATGTGTAGTTTGGTCGTTTCCAATCATTTTCGTCTATCATTAGTTGTTGAAGCAATCTTCATTAAACCTGATATTTGTAAAATCAGTCTGTTTTGTACATAACTATTTATGAACCTGTACTTTGGTCATTTCCAATCATTTTGGTCAGCCAACCCTTGCTGCATTGGTCTGTCATTGGTTGTTGAGGCAATGATTATTAAATCAGACATTGGTAAAATTTGACTTTTTTTGTACATATATTTTTATGAATCTGTAGTTTGGTCATTTCCAATCATTTTGGTAAGCCAACCCTTGCTGCTTTGGTCTGTCACATTGGTTGTTGAGGCGATGATTATTAAATCAGACATTTGTAAAATTTGTCTTTTTTTTTACATATATTTTTATGAATCTGTAGTTTGGTCATTTCCAATCATTTTGATGCCTAACCTTGTTGTTTTGGTCTTTCAATAGTTGCTGAGGCTCGTTTATTAAGCCAGATGAAATCTGCCTTGTGTTTTTCTACATACTTTATTAATAAAAACTTAGCCAGAATATTAAATTGTGATATTTCTTTCATGGGGTCTGTGGGTTCATGAATGTGTTGTTTGGTCATTTCCAACCATCTCAGCCTTTCTAACGTTGCTGATTTCATGTGTCATTAGTTGTTCAAGCAATCTTTCTTAAACCAAATATTTGTAAAATCTGTCTGTTTTGGTACATACATATTTATGAACTTGTACTTTGGTCATTTCCAATCATTTTGGTCAGCAACCCTTGCTGTTTTGGTATGTCGTTAGTTGTTCAAGCAATGTTCATTAAACCAATGATTTGTAACATCTGTCTTTTTTACATATATTTGTATGAACCTGTAATTTGGTCCTTTCCAATCACTGTGGCTTTCATAGAAACAACACCCTGCAGAAAATTAACAATGCTCTACTATACAGTCAATTTATATTTACTGTTTTTGTCTTATTTCTAAAAAAAAACTCATACAAAACTACGGATCAATTTCATCCAGGGTTATTAAAAAAGTGTGCACAATTTCTTCACTCAGTTACTCGGCTGAAAAATAAATATATAGGAATTCATTTAGATTATTTAAATTATATGAGTCAAGAAGGTTTTAATATACCGTCAAAAATGATTTCTTGGTTTTTCATTAATAATAATATATTTTACGGAATTAATCCAATTTACAAAAAATGTTTAAATATAGAAATATACAATATGAAAGATATAACGATATAAAACTAAGAAAACAAAGGAAAAAATTTCTTAAGTATTAAACAATATGTGAAGTAAGAAAATAGCTTAAAAGAATGTTTCATATAAATATATCTTAAAAAAGACCACATTTATCGTTATTATTGTAAATTGTGATTGTAAAATAATATAGCATATTTTAAAATATGATATAAACAATATTAGAAAACAATTACATAAAAATATATGCTTTATTAAGCAAAAGCAAGAGTATTTTGTCGATTTACTTGAATTATATACAGTAAAAATTTTTATTGGAAATAATATAAAGTTAATTATGGAAATAACACATTCATACATGTACAGAAGTGCAAGTTAAATCATTTATATGAAAAACATTTTATTGTTATAAAAATAATGTAAGATAAATTTAACTTAAAATATCTGTAATAATTCAAGATGTAACATTTCTGTACACTTGTCTGTGGAATGAAAAAAAAGACGAATTTAAAATAGTAAGCTTTGAAAAATTAATATTAATTTTTGAAAAATTGACCCATCATCCTTTTTTTTTTTTTTTTCCATCAGTTGCCATTCAGTGACTCCTTGAGCATAAGTTTTAGATTTATGCCATAACTCTCCCATATCTGATATGTACAAAGAAAACAGCAAGAGGCTCAAGATTTCACCTTGAAGAATGCCTTCAGCCAGTAAAATTCTATAGTAGTTTTTGTTTCTCTCTGAAACCTAAAAAGATGCCAAATTAAACAATTTTAAGATAAATGTTTTACCTCCCATACATAAAACATACAATTTGTGCCAGTTTCTCATGAGAAATAGATTCGACTGCCATTATGAAGTTTATAAATATCAAAATTATTTTGAGATTTAAAATTAAAATAGTAGTGTGTGAAAATGTAGCCTTCGCAGCCTCGACTCCTAAATCACTCTGTCTGTACGATAAGCAATTATTGAACCATTTGAAAAATAATACAGGTTCCAAAACATCCCCCTGAGATACGACAATTCAAAGGTCAATACCTTTTAAAACATGCTAATTTAAAAAATTTAAGTGGCCACAATGATTTTTCCACTGGATTGTGCCTATTGTAAAGATATTTTTATAGGAAAAAAGATATTTAAACAATATAAGAAAATTTTTTTATATTTACAGACAATTTACAGTACATGTAATAAAATTTAAAAAAGATTTTTTTAAAATTATGACGTTAAAGTGATGGCAGGACTAGAAAACTGTACAGAACAAACTTTATAACATAGATACATATATTAGCTGTTCCTCCCAGTTAAAACTTTAAGCAGCTTTTTATTTTTGGAGGTCAACTTGATGTTTTCAAACTGTTCTTTGTCGTAGTTTTTCCTAAGTGTCTGTTCAAGTTGTGCTAATTTTTCCTCTTCCTGGGTAGCCGTCATGGATTCCATGACTTCGTGATCGTAAGTCGAGTGGAGCATGAGAGGAAGGACGCCGGCTCGTTGAGACATTCGACTTCTAAGCTGGCGCTCTTGTTCCAGAAGTTCGTCGATCTTGAGCCATTGCCGCACCCTCTCCATGTCGATCTCGGCCTTACGAAGCTTCTCCCAGCAGTGATGTTTGAAGCAGTGTTTTTTCGATTCTCTGCAAAATTCGCCTGTCTCTTCGAAGACATTCTCAACAAATGGGAAACCACAGACCTCATTCGGGTCGATCTTGGGGTCTTTGTGGTGCTCCGGACAGAGCACTCTGAGTCGCTTGCAGTAAGTCTTTGCAATAGGATTGTAAAAGTCGCAGAACATGTTGTAACCTTCGATCCTAGTTCGATACACGGAGCTGAACGACGCTTGGCTTTCGTATTTGTTGAAACACTTTTCCAAGTGCTTCATCGCAGAACCGGTGTGAATCTCATGGCCGCAAGTTATACAGTATATACTAGATTCTTCCTCTCCTTTTTTCTGTCTTTTGCCTTTTCTCGGCTCGTCTTCTGTTGAAAGTACAGTAGAGTGCCTGGCCCTTTCGAGCACCATTTCTAAATCTTCATGCTGCTTGTCCAAGACTTGAAGCTGTGCCCTTGCGAGCTCTTGCTTTTTCCTGATGCTCTCCAACTGTTTTCGATTTACCACATCGGCGTAAGAAGCGGAGACGCTCCATTCTTGAAGCCTTTGCGGCAATACTTGGTAAATCCTGTTAGTCGCCAATCTTATCCCACATTTCTGGCTGCAGTATTTGCTGTTAGGAAGGGCCACTTGTGTGCAACGAGGGCCGTAGCATTGCATGCCGTCTTTAACTGAGTTCCCGAGGAGCCTTCTGGGTGAGCTTTCACCATCAGAACTCGATTCATATTCAATTTTCCTGTTCTTACAAACCCTGGCAATACACTTGTCCTTGGATCGTTTTGAAGAGCTCTTCTTATCTTTGCACACCCTGCACGCTCCACAGTCTGCAGGGCGGCGACAATTGCTGCAATCGCCACAGCCACCGCTCGACTTGTGCACCTTTGACGGGGTCTTCTTCTGCACCGGTTTCACCTGATCTTTCTTCGAAGGCTTACTTTTCGTTTCCAAGACGAATTCGTCTTCGTCTTCGTCCTTCTGCTGCTTGGCAACCTTCGACCTGTAGACAAGCTTGAGCGTAGAGTCTTCGCTTTGACACTTGTCGCAGAAATACTGCTTGATGTTCTTGGCCTGCTTCTCGGTTATTCCGATGCAGTCGCCGTGAAACCACTCCTCGCATAGGTCGCATCCTATCATGAACCTGGAAGAATCTGAAGAACGGCATATGCAGTACACCTGGCCGTCCTGTCTAAGCAAAGACGCTATTTTCGACTTCCTTTCCGGCAGCTGGAACTGCTTCGCTATCTGTTCCTGCGTCAATCTTCCAGACATTTTCAACCGTTTTTAAGGAGGAATCGATTCTATTTAATACATTTAAAACCGTTTATATACGAAAACAACTATTACTGGAAAATTGACAAAAGCTGAAACCCATGTACACTCACTGGTTACAAAGATAGATGGTTCAAATAAACATAAAAAGGTTGCAAACTGGTTATATCTATCCACAACCTTATTTTGAATAATGGAATTTTTTTTATATATTTATAAAATTAATTTATGTACTCGCTTCGGCGGTACATATACTAAAATTAATTTATAATATACTAGCTAACACATTTAATTAGTAATTAAGTATATTAACATATTATATTACATTAATTATGTTAGAAATGATAAATGTTATTACTTTACACAGTTATGTTAGATCCACTATATTTAATTTGGATGAAAATCTAATGATATAATTTTGTTAAATTTAATTATTTCCACTGAAGTTTAAATTATAATTAGTTATTAATTACTTACGTATATTAATTGTGTTAGAAATTATAAATTTTATTCAAAAATCGTGAGATGCGGTCTGGTGTGATGTAGGTTTCAGAAAAACGTTTTCTTTATCGTGCCAACGTTTCGATCTGTATTGAGATCATCTTCAGGGCCTGGGATTTACAAACATTGTTTACATTTAACAAATACATTTAGGATGTGGAAAAACGTGAATTTATACAATGCAAATAATTTTTTTTTATATATTCAATCAAAGTATTCATCCTACATGAATATTTGTTAAATTTAAACAATGTTTGTAAATCCCAGGCCCTGAAAATGATCTCAATAAAGATCGAAACGTTGGCACGATAAAGAAAATGTTTTTCTAAAACCTAAATCACACCAGACCGCATCTCACGATTTCTGAATAATCATCGGCAAACGGTCACTAATCACCACACATTATAAATTTTATTATTTTACAATTGTGTTATTTCCACTGTATTTAATTGGATGAAAATCGAATGATGTAATTTTTTTAAATTTATTTATTTCCACTTAAGTTTAAAACTGCATTTAAACTGGTTTTCATGTCCAGTAGAGTTTAGTCAATATGACATGAGTCAAAACTCAACAATCAAAGGAGAAGTCAAAACAGTTTGGACTCATGTCATCTCAATTTCCTAACTACCTAACTTAATTTATAATTGCTAATTTTAAACTTATGTTGAGGTGAGTGGCCCCAGAAGAAAAGTCCAAATGCTTCGTTCAAAACATTTATAGACATTTCGGACGTCTTACATCCTTCATCAGATACATAATCATTGTTTTTTATGTCAGTGACACCCTTTCCAGTGTCCCAGACCAACAGCAATTTATTGTTTTTCCTATTGCTGTTGGTCTGGGACGCCTTTACTCTGGGACGGATTTACTATCACCTCTACTATTCTCACTTTTACTCAATGTCAAATGAATATGTTGGGTGAGGTCTAAACATTAATGGGGTGAATGTGTTTGCTAGACCAGACAATATTGTCATATTGCCTGCAGATCCATGTTTTTCAAAGATGGCAAATCTCTGGAATTCTTTTCCATAACCAATTCCAAAGAGATTTTATCTATTAATCGTGGTATTCCGAAATGGTAGAATACTATCTAAAAATAGTCTGGAAGTTCAAGAATGACAAAATAGTTTTGGAATTGGCAAAGGAAAAGAATTCCAGAGATTTGTGGCTCGATTTAGGAAGGTCAAATGTGCAGATTTTATAACAAGGAAGGTACAGGTCCTTAGGAGATGAGCGGGTGTTAAGAAGTGGTTAGATTTGAATTGAAGTAGCTGTAAAATGTAGTGAAGCCGACAGGAATTTATGGATTGGAAAAGTTTTGAAAATGTTTCACAGAACAAAATATTTGTACTTGGCAGGTCATATTTTTGTTTGGATATATGACTGTTATAGTAATAACTAAGCCTCTCGCACTTTATTTTCATGTTCTAAAGTGAAGTTTATTTATCAGGATTGTGCTTGTACTAAGCGCCCTTGACCAATACTTGAGGATTTTTGAATCGGTAAACTTTGAGACATTTCACATTGATGTCATAGACAGGAGAGGTTAGGGTTAGTTAAAATATAATTATTTATTTTATATCATACTCTATTTATTGTTTCTAACTGTTAAATATTAACTATAAATAATATACTGCTATACATTGCTCTTGTTGTATAGACATACAAAAAAAAAAGTTGAATTTTATTTTATTTATTATATTTTACACAATTTTACATCACACTTTCAACTGTAAATAAATTCGTATCGTAATAAATGTTTAAATAAAGTGTAAATAATATATTTCTATACAAAAACAGGAAATAGCAAGTGAAAACTTCGTTTTAAAAAATATACAAATATTTTAATTAAATAAATCAACATTTGACATATCCATGTTTTAAATAATTAAATTTTTTTGTGATCAAACATTTATAAACTTATATCACATTAAAGATCACCTCTTAGGTCTCCAAAAATATTACCCATATACAATGGTGGGCGGGGAATAGAATACAATAAAACAATGTGATTATAATATAGTAACTAAAAAAAGAATTTAACAGAAGTTTCATACCTGTTATTTTAAAAAAGAAAAAATATAAATATATATATAGTTTTTTTTTTTTTATAATAAAGCGACTACTCATTTATACAAATATGGTACCAGTCCGAAGCATGAGGGGGTTGCAATTTAAACCAATTATCATGTGCACTGTCTGAGCTTTTGCTTATTTTTCAACATCTAAATTTATGAGATATAAAGAATAAGAAAAATCATTAGCATTCTATGTACAAAGAAGTAATTCAATAACAGATTTAAAATCATGTAAATTTCAAAGAGAATGTCCATATTTACAAATAATCTTTTTCACAAAAAGAAATCCTTTTTTCTTTAAAAAATGCAAATAAAAAAAAAAGAATATAGGCAAGGAATAAGTGAGAAGGAAAAATAATTTTTGTCAACACCAAACACCTTTAATGGGGTTGATTAATCCAATTTTTGTACTATTTCAATTAATGATTGTTACTAAAATAAATGTTTCTATTGACTGTGGACAAGCTGTTTTTTTTTTTTTTTTTTTTTTTTTTTTTTGATCAGTGTGACATGTTTTATTCTTGAAAATCAAAATTGTATTCTTATTTTAATAATTTCTTTTTACCTCCATATATTTTTATTCATTTTTTTAATTTTTAATATTTTACTTTTATTTTTTATTGGTGGGGGGAATAATGTTTATGTCTTGTTATGGTAATTCGTCCCGGTTGCATTTCTAACCCCGCTCGGAGCAAAGACCAATAGAACCGATCCGATTTGCAGATATCCCCAGGTGAAATTATCTCCTCCTTCCCACAATATCAAATCGACGCAACACTAAACAAAAACAAAATATTACAAACATGTATTCTGCGCACCGCAGATTTTCGAATGACTTACCTAACATGAACATTGATCACTGCCTCCGGGAGATTTGACCTCTCCTGTAAGTTTTATCTGATCAGGGAAGTCGTTGTAAAGACTTGAGTCAGATTCCTGTGCCAAAGCGTTTTTGGCTATCGTCTGGAATGCCTGTTCGACGTTGATTGCTTCCTTGGCACTTGTTTCATAGTAAGGGATGTTGTTCTTTGTCTGACACCATTGCTGAGCCCTCTTCGCCGAAACCTTTTAACCAAATCAATTAATTGTTAATGACTTAATTAATTAAAAATCATATTTTCATTGCTTGAAAAAATATTGTTCGAACAAAATTTTGTTTTACAATATAAAAAAACAATTTTTAACAACAAATAATTTTATAAATAATGGGTTAAAATATGTCGGTAGCGTTTGTCAATAATTCAAATTTATCCCTCTTTTATTTATTGAGTCATTATTTGTTTATACACTCAAAAAAGCTATGTTATGGTGTTTTTATCCATCGAGATGCCATATTTTTACCAGGTGTTTTGCTAGTTGAAAATGGAAGAAACAATAGCGTATTTTCGTCCCCCCCCCCCAAAGCAAAGGAGTTGAAATAAAAAAAAATGTTACTTTTTTTTAAATCTTCACAAGATCATGAAAGCTTTATAAGACCATCAGCTAACTTAACCCGCTTGATTGTTAACCTAATTAACTTTTTCTTAATTTAAACGATTAAATATCCTCAAACTCACCCCTCGGTTTTCCAGATCGGCTTTATTTCCAAGGACGACAAATGGGAAATTGTCTGGATCTCGGGGGGAAGCCTGGATGAGGAATTCGTCTCGCCACGACTCCAGCGATTTGAATGTGTTGGGCGCTGAAATGTCAAACACGAGGACGCAACAATCAGCGCCTCGGTAGAACGCGACTCCTAACGACTGGAACCTCTCTTGACCGGCAGTGTCCCAAATCTGAAAAAAGATTATAAATCAGTATTAAAACCTAGTCTAAAATTGGTTATTCACCTAAGAATCACTAGTTGGCCTACAAATTTAATTTGCAAAAATAATAATTGATTTAAAAATTACTATATTTTTATGATACTCCTGAGGAAATATACAGAAGCTTAAAACTGAATTTTTGACCAACAATTTTTGGTTTAAAAATGTTTTGGGCAAAAATGTTAGTTACATCATATTTTTGAATATCAATGTGAAATGGCAATTTACTCATTAATCAGTACTTTCAATTTAATGAGATAAAAAGCCTGAGCAAAACAAATCAGCTTATCTCGTAAATTATAGTTTTACACGATTTACAAATCGGTACGATGATAAGATTTTTTGTTTAATTACCTGCATCGTAACGACCCGGTCGTCAACCAAGACCTCTTTTGTCAAGAAATCTGCACCGATGGTTGCCTTGTACTGATTGGTGAACTTCTTATTGACGTACTGATTCATCAGGGATGTTTTTCCAACGCCGGAATCCCCAAGGATGATAACTTTCAGTAGGACCTTCTTTTTGTTCGACATGGCTTCTATTTATTTTTAATGCGCTATCTGTAAAATCAGAAGGGACAAAAAAAAATCAGTTTTATTTAGGATGCAGCTTAATTATTATCAAAACAATATTGACAACGCATAACTTATTTGTTTTAAACGTAAAATAGCTGTTTTTGACAATTATCCAACTGGATCTGAGCCAAATAAGTCATTCACGTTTGCCAGAGGGTTGAGCCAAATATAAAAAAGGAAAATAATATGCACAATTCTGGCTCAAAAACTTTTTTCTTCAAAAACCCAGTGTCAATAAATGACATAGGTTATTATTTTTCCTTTACAAAGAAAAATAATTCTGTCCATGGGTAATTTACGTAATAATAAAAAACCTAAGATAGAAGGTTTGGATCTTAGGACGTGAAATGACCTAGCCGTTAAAACGCCGTTAAAAAATGAATAATAATATTTCTTTTTTTGTTACTTTAAAAAATTGATTAAAAAAATTTGGAATTCACATTTGAAAAGTTAAATAAACATTATGCCTATAATTTAAAATGAAAGCTCATACGCCAACATTTAAATGAAAATGTTTCTCTATTGCAAAATGATTTTTGTTTATTAAAGCTACTCTTTCCAGACCATTTTTTTAAAATTATTTATTTATATATTGTTTGTAACCCATAGCCAAATTAGTACACATTACAAATGTGATTACAGGGTTTTTTTTCGTGTGGTCAAAACACTACCATTAATGCAAATGCTGCACTCAGAGTACACTTAATAAGAAACGGCACGGCACTACCTCACAGAGTGTGACAGGTACGCTAGGATAGATTCAAAACTTTTGAAGGAGAGGACATTAACAAATCACTCCCCGAGATAAAATGGTTCAAAATCTTGGGGTTTGTGAACAAGTCCAAGAGGTTTATGCAGGACACGTGAACCGACCAAGTCCTGGATCCTTTAGGGATGAGGTACGAGTCTACCCAGGCATTTAACCCCTTGGATATATTATATGAGAAATCATCCAATGCTGGCACTCATCAATGTGAGGTGTTAAGGAAGCAAGGATAACTGTCAGGAGGAACCAGAGACGTCACATGTCCTTTGTGAATGTGAAGCCTTAACCCAGTTATGGTAGCTCAGTTTTACCATTTCTCACACCAAAAGAGGTCCGAGAAGAGGCTCCAAGGAAAGCGCTTAAGTCTTATAAGATAATCATACATCGCCCTTTCCAAGGATTATCAACCCCCAACCATCTTACAAAAAAAGGGGGGGAATGGCAAGCTTTGAGAGGATTCGAGCAGAAGGTTTAGGATGAATCCAAAGAGGCTGATGTGCAACTTTTTAGAATCATATAGTTCATGATTGACAAAAGGAATGTTGTCAAGACAGATTTCAGTCCAAAAAGGCTTCATAGTGTCCAAGCTGTGAGTTAAGTTGTTGTCTCTTAACGAGTGCATGTTTAGTCTGCTGACTAGGTAAGTCGTAAGTACATGACTTGAATGGAAGACAGCATCATTTGTTGTTGATGTACAGTGGAGGGCAAGACTGTTTTTTCAACATGAACGTACACAGGCTATTTTTTTCTTACTTCAATCTTATACTCCACTTTTTTCACCAGTCGTAAGGTTAAGGTGTTCTTGGAAGTTGCAGGTACCTTAGATAGAATTCGAGTTAGGGGACAAAATTGTGGTACCATCTAGTATTGGAATGTGTAGGTCGGTCAGCGATATAAATGAAACACAGGATAGGGCCAAGAATGCTTCCTTGTGGGACGCAGGGTACGTATGATTTCAAACTGGAGAGAGGAAATGATTCTATGAGTATCTAGGATGGGCATTATTTACTTCAAAAGGAGTCTTTGGAGGATTTTGGACATTGCAGGAAGAAGGCTGTGACTATAGGAGGTTATATGGTCAGGAGGTATGTGAACTTCACGAATGAAAATAATTACAGAATATTTCCATAAGAGAGAAAGTGAGTGGTTTATAGGATGTCATTATATGCAGTGACTATGGCCTTTTGAAGAAAGTTTCGAAGTATTGTGGAGTTAATCATGCCCAGGGATTTGTGAATGTGGTACTTTATTTCAGAAGGATTAAAAGGTTAAAAGGGAGATGAAGAGGAAGTGGTTTATTATGGATATATATACTATGGCATATATCATTGCCTGTTGCACATGATGAACATTTATGTCTTGATGAAAAAATAGTTTCTAAAAATGGTAGTAAATCAACATTATTTATTCACAACTGTTGCATCCAGTTGCAAGTAAATCTCATGTAATCACTATTTGATTTAAATTCAATTTTTTTTAAACACTTGAAGGATATGGATTGTTTAGTTAAGTTACATTAAACAGAGGTGAATTTCATTAGGGTATTATTAGTATTTCCTGTATAAATCAGTGTCCATTTTAAAATGTGAACTATATTCATGAAGGACATAATTTATAGTCAACTGTAGTTATTTGATAACGATTCAACCAATTATGATCAAGTTAAACTATAGATTTTCGAATTGTTGACATCCTGCATTTCTTCTCTTTGTACATAAATGATTAATACAATTTTAGAAAAAAAAATTCAACAAAAGAACAACAGAAGAGAGTTGTTTGTTAGTTAATTTAAAACTCGCATAATAAAATTATTTATCAATTCGTAGAATGTTTAATTGATCTAAGCACAAAATGTACTAAAACAATATAAAATTTGAGCATTGTATTATTTAGTATTTTGATTTTTTTTCTTTTTAACAACCAAAATGATTCAATATTTGCCAAATGAACAATAACAATATAAAGTATCCTTTCTAGAAAGAAATTATTTGTCTAAGATAGTTCTATGTTCGCAACTCAATCAACAACGATTATCACAGTGGACAAAAGCTGAGAGATAAGTGCAATTGACAATTAATTTTGTTTTGTCTAAATTTTGTAACGAATTTTAACTGGAACAAAAACAATACAATGATTAAAGTAGAACAAAATTTTGCCTCTTGGATGAATCTTGTATCAAAGGCACTTGAAAATTTAATCAGTTTATTATTGGTTTTTCCTCAAATTCGTTAGACAAACTTGCTGCTAAATCAACATTTTATTTTCCAGAACATTTATCAATCGAGCTATACCATCTAATAAAACAAATATGTGCCAAATATAAGATAAAAACAAATTGGCTTCAGATTTTAAAAACAGGGCCATCAAGTTTTTATCATTGGTGTTTATCTTTGTCTTTCCAGAGATAGATCACTTTTATTCAAGCTGAGGGTGAAAGTATTGATTGAATTACTGTAAAAATAAATAATGAAATTTTAAATTAAACAACCAACATATTGTAGTGTAACCAATTGAGTTTAAAATAAATCCAAACGATTCAAAATAATATTTGTATTACATAAAAAGGAAGTCTTCTTTGTCCTTGACTGTCTTTCAAGCCAAGGCTGTTATTGGAAATATGATCATCAGTGAGCAACTTTGCTTCTAATTCTGATTGCAGGCTCATTCTCACAAACTTACATTTCTTTACCAAAATCATAAACTAAAACTACAACAAATACTTCTACATAAAATGTTTAACATTCTGTTATAATATTCATAAATTTGAGCCTACCTCAAAATTGAAATATTTTATTACAATTTTGCTTCCAGAGGTTTAAACAAAGTGGAAAAAACTCAATATATAACTCAATTACTTCTAAATGCGGGAAAATTATATTATATTTAGTGCTAATTAGGAAGTTGCTTAGTTTTATTATGAAATAATTCTTGATTGAAAACAGAATAACAACAAATGAAATATTGCAACATCATTATTTTTTATATAGTAATCACGCGTGATTCTGTGAAGTTAAGTTTCTTTTTAAGGTCGTATGGATGATTGCCAGTGACATGCTGAAGATGGCGAAATTCTAATATATGTGCTCATATACAGATCAAAATGATCTGTAATGATCAAATTTACATTTTTTTTCTTTTCTTTTTTGGCCTTGTGTTTGCACATATGCCATATCGAATTTTTACATATTCATCACCTCACAAACCACGGGAAGAAATCTGACAAAATTAATAACAGGTTTTTACAGTCATTTCATAGAATCGCTCGCTCATAAAAAAAGTTGTTTTTTTGTTTTTGTCAAATTTTTGTTATCAAACAATTGATCAATTTTTATATTGCCCTAGCACAAAGAATATTCAAATGCTCCAAAATATCAAGAGAATAGACCAAATAAAGCCACAACAATTAAAAGGCATTCAAAATAGCAATTTTTTATGGTAGTGGTTACATAACAGACAACCGGGATCTAATAACTCTTACATAATTAACGAAAGCCTAGGAAATTAAAAAGGAATCATCTTTTGTTTTTGTCTATTGATTTTATTCATCTACTTTTTCTAACTAGAAATTAGGCATGCTATAATTAACCATCTTTATTATGACAATTGGAAGTTCAATAAACAAATTCTGATACCCAAAATGCACAAATAATTTTTTTTCAAGCGAATAAAATTTTAAAACGAGTCAATGTAAATAAATAAATGCTGAAATTAATAAGCACACTCAAAATTGTATTTATGTAAGGGTATAAACATCTTATCTTTGAGGGGGAGGAGATCAAAAGACCCCTTATATAATTAAACCTTTGAATTGAATTAGACATGGGGGACTCTATATTTCTACTTATTGTCCTCATATTAACTCATGTGACTCATTTCCCCATCATTTAAAAAATAATAAATATCACCTTATAGTAAACTTTACGTTAGTTCTGGTACATAATTGAACAAAATAAATTAACGACAAACTTATTTTAGTCATAATGTTTTTCCATCAATTTTGGTAACATTAATTGTATAGCTTTATTACATTTTGGTTAAATTAATCTTTTCTTCAATCTGATATTTCAAAGGCAATTAAACAAATATCTATTGCCTATCATCTTGGTCTGCCTACCCTTGCTAATTGTTGTGTTTAGATGTGTTTCAGCATTTCACCTTCTTCGGTGAGAAGAGAGATATGTATAAGAAGCTTCAGAGATATAAGAAGGAAGTTTAAGCAGACTATGAATATCTCAAACGATAGGTTTATCACCCCACAGACCACAGGAGGAAATCTCACAATTAAATATAGCTAGCCAGGCTGTTATTAACAAGAAATTATCAATTGTTACGATTTATGAAAATGACCAAACATGTACGAATTATCCGGTAAACAAAATATCTATTTTAATAGATTTAATTTTACTAAAGTTAAAAAATGCAGACACCTTTTAGTTTGTGAAAATTTAAATTAGAATAATAATTATTGTGGTTCATGATTAAATCTTTTCATGACAAAAAATGTACAAATAATTAAATGAAAAAACTTTTTTTTTAAATCTATAAATCACCAACAGGCAGGCACAATTTTTAGCGACCAAATTACATGTTCATTACCCTGCATACCACGCAGAAAAATCTCAGAACACGGTAAAGCTCTTTTAATTTTTTGGCAATTCATAAATGAATAGTAATATAAATATGCAAAACTTATTTTTAAAAAATCTGTTGAAATTTCATAATCATTATGATTCATGTGGTAATATTGAAAACAAGCCGCAAGAATCAATCATTTTGTAGTCTGGAGTCAGACCTCAGTTTTATCGGTACATCCAACTGAAGTTAGGATCCGGCGCTGTCAAAAGCTAGGTCAACTCAGCTTGCTTCAGTCCCAACACAAGCAATCCTGAAGAATTTGTATTTTTGTCCCAAGGGTGGAGATCTACTAATCTAATTGAAGGGTGGAATATTGACAGTATATTTTTAAACTTACTGAATTCATTTTAAAAAAATCTTTTTTTAGAAAATCCCTCTTGTTCGTCGTAATTAAATTCCACTTCCTATTACAGATAATGTCAAACACTTGGTACTTTTCATAGTCAAAAGGTTGTCATGAAATCCACACACGCAACTTAAATGTTAGAACTGAACTACATGTACAAAACTAAAAAAATGCTAGATAACTTCAAGACTATTCACAAAATAAATTAATGCTTTGCACAGTTCTTCTAGCTCTTATGTGTACTTAATGGACTGGATAAGTACTTATGTACTTGGACAGCAAAAAAATTAAATCTTAACAGGATCCAAACACTCCAGTTAATTTTTTGTTTAATCTTTTGACTGTCCAAATAAATTTTTGCATTAATGTTGGCTAAAAAAACTGGATAATTTGTACATGTTTGGGTGTTGTCACAGTCATAGTAATGGGTCATTTATTGTTAATAACTTGGCTTGGCTAGCTATGTTAAATTGTGAGATTTCCTCCTGTGGTCAACAGGGCAATAAACCTGCTGTTTGAGACAATCTTGGTCTACTTATCCATCTATCTTATCACACTGATGAAGGTGAATGCTGAATGCGCCATAACCCACAAAAATCAACTGTCACAAAAAAAAGCATCAGTGTGGAGGATTGGATTTTGTCTTGTGAAACAGAATCCCATTTTTCAACAAGAGTGATTTGGAGCTGTTCAACACTTGTTAGAGGTTGCGAACTATATTAATCCATTTCTTTATCATGTTCCATAAATTTTGCCAGGAGACCACTGTACACCAGACTGGCCAATTGTGGAAATCTCTACATCCTCCAAGCAATGGGTAACAACTCAGGCTACAAGTGGTCAAGGCATTATCATGCATTAACACGAAGTTGTCCTCAACAGGTGTGAATGGAACCACGCTTCCAGAACTTGCTCAATGAACCTTAGTGTAGTCAAAGTTCTATTTTGCATGATAATCAGTTCAATACGTGTATGAACATTCATTCCACCACATACCATAACCATCTTTGAAAAGGATGTGACCCACGCATGGAACATGAAGCAAAGCATTCCACTCATCTCCACCATGGTGTCAGTTATCTGATTGCCACATCCATACTCATCTGTGAATAGAACAGCATGTTTTTCAAGTGTCCAATGCTGACTGCGAACAGTTGCCTTTCTACTCGATGCCTTCTCAGTAGGAGGAAACGTAACGTGGGACATCTAGAGTCTAGGATATTCTCATGAAGACTTCTGATGAGTGTTTTAGAACTCCTTACATTATGGAACATTCGAAGTTGACTACTCATCAAGGAAGACAAGGACAATAAGAGCAAGGAAACTATCCTCTCTAGCCACTACTACTTCAATCGAAACTTCCATTGGCCCTAAACCACTAAACAATCATGTAAATGATTCAACACACACGACACACCCAGGACTTGAGCTAAACAATGCTACAACCTACATCAATAAAAGCACCTGCGCTGGTGAGATCTTGACTTAAAATCAAACTTTTACATAATAAAATTACTCAAATTTATCATTTCATCAAAAACAATTGTAAAAAAAAAAACACTGACTCACGTCGTGTCATCCACTGGGAAGGACAAAATTGAACTGATTTTCTTTATTTTTAATCTAAAGAGTGTAAAAGGATTAGTAACACTGGATAAAGGTAAAGAATAGGTTATTAATGTTGTGTTTACTTTAAGTCAGCTAATTGCTCTTTGTACCTAGTTATACAGTTTATGTTGAAAAATAAATATGAGCGTCCGTTTTTAATTAAATTTAGTATATATTATAAATTAGTACGTTTTGATTTAAACATTAGAGTGATGGGGAAATAAGGGTCTACATTGTTATCTAACGTCTGCATAAAGAAGTGATGATTCACCAAATGAAAGACCTTCTTTTCCTCTCACTCTTTTCTTTTTTTGTTAAATGCAATTCTGTGAAACCTTTAAAGCGAAAAATCTTCATAAGACTTTAATTCTATATTTTTATAGTGAAATGAACATTTTATAAATCATGGCCAAGTATCGGGAAGTGAAATTGAAAATGGAGTTTAAAGGCTGATTAGATTAACCATAAAAATATAAAGTGATGGGTTTTTTATGTCTTTTTTTGACATTATTTTTGATGATTATAAGACATGTTTGAGAAAATAAGATAGGGCAGCAGTCATGACACAATAGATAATAGTTGAATCATTCTGTAATTGAATGGTTACTGTTCACGGGGTTTAGAATGGAAGAAACAGGCAATATTATTGAATATTTGTTTATTTAGAGAATTTTTCGACTAGGACGACGAAACAAGTGTGAAAAAGACAGAAAAATTCTTGTCAGGAGAAGATAGCTTTTGGAATGGGTAACGAAACGCAATAACGTCAACAATACGCAAATACCTTTTTTTGAAACTGTGAAGGCGTTGTCTGACGAATCGGTGTCCAATTTTCTCGAGCCGAGTGCGTTTGTCCCTTTTTATATCTGAATCCCTTTTTTCTCTCCTGTTTTTGAGCCGCTGTTTTTCGCAAAAAAAAAGGGATTTTTCCTTTCTGTGAGACGTGAGATTTTAACGAGCGCGGACGAGGAACTGTTGTAAGCCCTGGAGTAAAATGGCGACTGGGAGGTCAATCGGGGTACACAAAGGGGCCTGTGACGTCAGATAACAGCTGACCTCTATAGTTCCCAATCTCGACGGGAGATGCCGCTAGGGGTCTTCACGACCGGGAAATTTCCAGTCATCCATTCCCAACTCAATTAATTAATTAATTTAAACAGACAAATAACCAGAATACAATACACAATACATTTTGCAATAAAATTTTTTTTTCTTTTTTTTACAGGTCAAAAACCCATTTATTAAAAAAATTATGCAAAAGTGAAGAGAAAAAATATACAAAGCTTATTTATAACTAACTCAACATTAATAAAGAATAAAAAACTAAACTGTACATAAATGAAAAAGACAATAAAATCCTTATAAATAAAAACATAAAGATTTAATTAAACACCGCTCGATAATCCCACATAATCGAAGCGTGCCTTGGCTCCCTACAGGGCGCGAGTAGGCATGCCGCCAGATTTAAAAGGTGCTCTAGGACACAGCAGCGAGTTTCAGGGTCCCCCGTTTCGCTTTTTAAGGTTTTTTTTGGAAATGGTTTACATCAACAGAGATAAACAAATCATCGAATACAGAATGGACACTGTAAACTCAGTCGCAGCCACGCTAATATCATTAATCAAATTCAATATCAATAACATACATATATCATCATCACATCACACAAAACATATAATATAACATATAAAACAATCAATACACTCCTCATATCGTACAATTCTAAGTGGTCTATTTCTTCAACAATTTGTCTCTCCTTTCCCTTATAATCCCCGTCTGTAATAATCCTGAAAGTCTAACCAGGCCCAAACGACAAACCATTACCCATTTTTTCCCATTGTCGGCACCTTTCATCTCTAAGTAGCCGACTCCTCATAGAAAAATGGATTTCTTTCCCTACTTCCTTCCCCACTCCATCAAAATCCAACAGATATAAACAAAAAACATTAATATCTCACTATCACAACACGACACCCAATAATGACACATCTACACAGAAAACAAACACTTTGAGCCCTGAAGATGATCTCAATAAAGATCGAAACGTTGACGCGATAAAAAATGTTTTTCTAAACCTACGACACACCAGACCGCATCTTACGATCTCTAAATAATCATTAATTAACGGTCACTAAATACCACACATATAAAAATAATTAAATTAAATTAAATAATAAAATTCCTGTTTTAAGTAACTGACGTTTTAATGGGGAAACAGAAGTATTAAGCAAATCAAAAGTATTGCAAATGTTGTTACATTCTATCATCATGCCATACATCGGGGAGTGCAGTGAAATTTTTCGTTTATATTCTATAAAAAATATTTTCTGATTTCTTAGGTGGCAAGGAGGTACATAAAATTGGAGTTTACCAAAGATTTCTGAAGAATCTTTACGTTTGTATTACATCCATTATATTTAGTGGTCTGGTTGACCAAATAACTTCTTTCAATTAATTAATCTTTTTACGTAAGGTATTGGTTGAAATGAAAAAGCTAGTGTTACGAGCGGGATTCCAGCCCGGGGGGAGAGGTCGTGGGTTCGAATCCCGCTCGTGACCCTAGCTTTTTCATTTCAACCAAGATCTTACATAAGAAGGATTAATGAATTAAAAGAAGTAATTTGGTCAATCAGACCATTAAATATAATTTAGACAGATCAAAGACACAACTTTGAAAGTTGAAAGTTCATTTTAAACTGCAGTGGCCGAGTGGTTGGTCATCTCGTATTTTCAACAGTTCTGGGTTCAAATCTTCTTGACATAGTCCTTGGAGTTTTATTTGAGAATAATTTGTAAAAACTACAGTAAAGATGTTTTGGCCCTTCGTCTTTACAACATGTTCAATATAGCTGACCTTCCAAGAAGTCAAAGTTCCAACTAGTTAATAATGTATAAGAATAAGAAAGTACTAATGCATTAGAAAAGTAATTTTCCCCAGGAGGGTGAAAATTGAACATCCAGGCAGCCTGATGAAAACATCAAAATGGCCTTCAAAAGGTGCATGATTTCAAAAATATTGATGGGTCCATTTAAACCTGTGTTTTGAAATAAAGCCACTGGTCATTTTATACACTCATCAGGATCCAGGTATGGTCAAACTGCGTAGAAAAAATTGTTTTATTCCAATACATAGTTAATATAAGAATTTATTGACTATTGGTGACATAAGTTGTATGTTCGAAGGAAAGAAGTTCTGAAATCTATTTATTCAAGCAAATTTTATTATTAGGAAATGAAATATTTTATCATTAACATAATTAAGACGAAGGTCGTGGGTTCGAATCCCGCTCGTGACACTAGCTTTTTCATTTCAACCAATACCTTAGGTAAAAAGATTAATTAATTGAAATTTTGTATTACAGGCTATCTACGCTGATCATTACGTTCAATCCATTATATTTAATAGTCTGATTGACCAAATTATTTCTTTCAATTAATTAATCTTTATACGTAAGGTGTCGGTTGAAATGAAAAAGCTAGTATCACGAGCGGGATTCGAACATAGAGGGAGAGGTCGTGGGTTCGAATCCCGCTTGTGACACTAGCTTTTTCATTTCAACCGATACCTTAAGTAAAAAGATTAATTAATTGAAAGGTTGTATTACATTTTTTTAATATGCTTTGCCTGTTTATAAAATAAAAATTATGTTTAAAGTTTGCTAATTTTTTAAGATATTTAATAATTAACATTATTACAAATAATGTTTCAATTACTTCAATATTTTGTTGTATAAATGTATGCCTAATTACCATAAAAAATATTACTGAACTGAATTGCATATTCGTGAAATATTCACTGGAGAAATTTATTTCAGTAATAATCTTTTTATATCGTTTTTCCTTGTTATTTGTTACTATTTGTACACAGAATTAGCCTGTTAAAAATATTTGACAAAAAGAGGAACAATTTGTAGCTAGTATGTGCCACATCATCAGGTAACTTTGACCTGAAAAACCACGGTCCATGCATTCACGGTGTATTAAGTGATTTCATAGCGAGCAAAGGTCCATCAATGTAGCTTGCCAATAATAAAATCACCTATTCTCATCATATTTTATTAAATCCGGCGTAATTACGTTTTATTAGCTCGCTACTCCTATTCTCAAAAAAGAAAATGGTGTGGTTGAAAATTTGGTTAAAACAGTTATTATAAACGCCTTTTAAAATTATAACCACTGACAGTCAATCTTGCAAATATACTGATAGCCAAGAAAAGAAATTTCATGTTAGTCAGTACAAATAGAAAGTAACAACCATTGAATAAAGAACACAAATAATTGATATTAAAAGCCTTCTTCAATATTTACTGTACGAAATTTTATCAAGCTTTCTATGTGCTTGATTTTGAAAGTGTTTTGCCGCAAAATGTTCGAGTGATAAAACATTCAGATGATCCGATTTGAACATGTACATCGCTGTTTGCTGGTATCGTGACTACACAAATGAAAATAAGATAATGGCCTATTCAAAATAAAAATCTCTCGGTACCCAAGGAGAAGGCATCTCTTTAAATTTTGAAGAGTTTTTAATACCAGTTGTACAGCTTACATTCTTGGGTCCAACTTTGACAAAACACTGAATTGTAAAAGCAACGTTAGAAAAATTGCAAATTCAAAACCAGGGGAGCAGTTACCTGCATACGTCTTATGTTGTGCATATCTTTTAAAAACAGCTTAAAAAAATTTCGTTACTATTTATTGCTAATGTCAGGGTAAAATGGTGAGTATTGGAGCTTTCTGAACTCCACCAATAGGTCTTTTCCTGATAGAAACTAGTGAGCCTCTGCTTGAACAATTTGTACATTGATTAATATACTCGTTGTTGAGTGAAGTTAAATTAAGATTAATATATCACATGATACTTGTAATGAGGTGACAGTTCATTTTCATTTGCTCGTCTTTTGAAAATGTAAACGTCACAAGTTTTGATTTATCAGCATGACTTTTTACACCATTTGGGGATTTGTAAGAAGTTTTGTTGTTCACGACAACATCTTCAAGTTATGCGATGATTATCCGGTTTATTTGATATGATGTTAAAATCAGTTTTTCGTATTCTTAGTCTAAAACAAAAACCAAACAAGTAAAGTATATGCGATATTAAACATCAATGCAGTTTGAAAACTTTAAAGTCCAGAGGACCAAAAGACTCCACGTGATTTCTCTTTCATAATCAATAATTCTTCCCTCAAACAATTTTACAGGTAAAACGCTTAGGATATTTGACAGAAATGCAGTTTAAAACCTGGCCCAGAAGACATGTCCATCCAATAATGGATTGGATATGGAACCATTTGTGCGATTTATCTTCTTAACCTACAAAACATGTCGGTCTTAACCATTCGGCCGCCGAGAATGTACTGCAGTGGGTGTCAACGACTAGGTCATTTTAACCTCTAAGGAAATCATTTCCTAAAACCAAACCCATTTCGTCACCCATTATCCTTTTATAAAACTAACCGAATTGAGGGTCGATGGGGTAATCAATATTTAATCATTCTCACAATACATACACTAATAAATACATTCACTCTCAACAAATGCTAGGGACACAAACTATCAGTATTATATATAGGTAGAACATCACAGTTTCCTCCACAAAATCCATCCTGACAAAAGACTACAATGGCCAACCCTTAATCGACCAGATATGGAACCATTTGTGTGATTTACCTTCTTAGCTTACAAAACATATCTGAAAAAATTAAATCAAAATACATTTTAAGAAAATATGGTTTTGGAAAGTTCGATGCATGTATAAGGAACAAGAAGGGGCCCAGGATGCTTCTTTGTCGAACACCTGCTTTTATATGGGCGCTCCTTGATTTTGAACCTCTTGAATTTGGATGGAAAAGTTAACTGGACCTTTCATATTTTCCCTTTTGATGAAAAAGTCATCAATGTATGATACTACTCCTATTTATCGTAAATTTTCTCTGCCACGATAAATATCTATACAGACAGGAAAAGTATTGATTGAACAACAATTTTCTTATGAGATGTACAAATTACAGACAAACTTCTTC